AGCCACTCCCACAAAGGAGGCCACACCCACAGAGTAGGTTCAAAAAAATTTTGAAACCCACCACTGGCCTGATTGATTGATAAAGGGACACTTCAGAGAACGTGATAAAGGGAGAGCGTTACCCCAGAACAGCAATCATCCCAGAGGCCTCCAAATACCGTATTTCCAGAGTATAAGACGCACCGAAATATAAGATGCACCAAGGTTTTGAAGAGGCAAATTTAAAAAAAAGTTTTTTGCAAAAAACGGGCCAGTTTTTGCAAAAAACGGGCCAGTTTTTGCAAAAAACGGGCCAGTTTTTGCTTGTTTGTGGGAGGCGCCTAAGGCTATTCATGCCGCTTTTGGGGGGGGGGGAAACGGGCCTGTTTTTGGCAGGTTTGCAGAGTGCAAAAACTTTTTTAAAAATTTGCCTCTTCAAAACCTTGGTGCATCTTATATTTCGGTGCGTCTTATACTCTTACAACAGTTGATTTAGTGACCTTTGAAAGTTAGAACACAGCACAGAAAAAAGCAGCTTATAATGACGGTTTTTCACCCTTAGGACTGAGGCAGCATTCCCCCATGTCACGTGATCAAGATTCAGACGCTTGCCAACTAGTTCATATATGTGACCATTGCAGTGTCTCCAGAGGTCATGTGATCCCATTCTGCAACCTTCGGACAAGCAAAGTCAATGGGGAAGCCCGGTTCATTTAACAACTGTGTTACTAACATAACAGTTTCAATGATTCACTTAACAACTGTGGCAAGAAAGTTAGTAAAATTCACTTAACAAATATCTCACTTAACGACACAAATCTTTGGCTCAATTGTGCTCGTTAAATCGAGGACTATCTATATAAAATATTATAAGAGATGCTTCTCTGTCTTCTTTCATTCCTTCTAGCAATATTCTATTTATGGGTTACAGGTAGTCCTTGACTTACGACCCCAACTGAGCCCAAAATTTTTGTTGTTAAGTGAAACAGCTGAATTCAGGCATAGAGGTAGTCCTCAATATATGACCACAATTGAACCCAAAATATTTATTGCGAAGTGAGACAGTTGTTAAGTGAGTTTTGCCCCATTTTACAATCTTTCTTGCCATAGCTGTTAAGTGAATCATTGCAATTGATAAGTCAGTAACAGGGTTGTTAAGTGAATCCGTCTTGCTCATTGATTTTGCTTGTCAAAAGTTTGCAAAAAGTGATAACCGTGGGACACAGTAACGGTCATAAGTATGAACCAGTTGTCAAGCATCTCAATTTGCTGGCTGGGGAATTCTGGGAGTTGAAGTCCATGCACCTCAACGTTGCAAAGGTTGAGAAACTTTGCTCTAACTCAGGGATGGGGAACTATGGCCCTTTTATGACTGGTTCAGGAACTCTGGGAGTTGAAGTCCCACAAGTCAGAAAGGAGCCATCATTCCTCATGTTGGTTAAGGAATTCTGGGAGTTGAAGTCCCACAAGTCAGAAAGGGGCCATCATTCCTTATGTTGGCTAAGGAATTCTGGGAGTTGAAGTCCCACAAGTCAGAAAGAGGCCATCATTCCTCATGTTGGCTAAGGAATTCTGGGAGTTGAAGTCCCACAAGTCAGAAAGGGGCTATCAATCCCCTTGATGACCCAGGAATTCTGGGAGTGGAAGTCCACAATTCCAAAAGGGGCCATTGCTCCCCACCTCTGCTATATAAATAAATCCCAATCGCTCAGGAGCGACAACAGAGCAAGGCTGATGCCAGTTGGGCTTTTCGGGACCCTCTTTGGAGACGGTGACCCACGGTTCAATGGGGAGGGGGGATCCAGAAGGACGCTTATCAAGCTCCTTGGCTCCACCTCCCCCCACAAAAAAACCTCCTCCCAAAACCACGTTCTTACTTGCTGTTCTTTCCTCTCCACTTCCCGCTGCATCTGCAGAAAATCCTCAGCCAGGGAAGCCGCCTGAGAGCAGGTCTCTGGCTCGTGTTCCCGGACCCAGCTCTGGATCTCCGGTGGCAGAATGGCCAGGAACTGCTCCAGGATCAGCAGCTCCAGGATCTGCTCCTTGGTGTGTCTCTCCGGCTTCAGCCACCGGTGGCAGAGGTACCAGAGCTGACTGCAGACCTCGCGGGGACCTTCGGCCTCCTGGTAGCGGAACTGGCGGAAGCGTTGGCGTTTCATCTCCATGCTGGCCGAGTCGTCGCCCAGAATTTCTTCCTTCACCTTGACCATCCCCGATTCTCCAATTTCCCCCACGTCCAAGAGGCTTTGAGGCTCGGAGCTTTCCTCGCTGAGGACCACAGGGTGCCGGCTGGCCCGGCCACCCCTGGGCCACAGGCGGGTCACTGCCGGCCGCTCGGCGGAGGGAGAGAATCGCCGCCGGTCTTCTAACTCGGCGGGGCGCAATAGATTCCTCCACCCCGAACGAGGGGAACGACTGGCGTTGTGATGCACTTTGTGCTGGGCCGTCCTCGCTTTGGGCAGCCTCTCGTTTTTTTCTCGAGATCGGCGAGAAGCCACCGCTTTGCCCCTCCACCTTTCCTCTGGGTCCGGCGTTTCGGGTTCCTCGTCTTCCATTTTTGCTCCGCGGTGAGCCCCCTGCTCTGAGGGACCTTGGAACTGAAGGCTCGGCGTCGATCCCCGTGTTGCAGACATCCCTGGAAGAGGCACGCAAATGACCTTCCCTCCCTCTCTCTCCGCAAACGCAAGAGATTCAGGAAACGAAGGATCTCGACTGTTTTTCCCAGCAGGCGAGGTTGAGAGGGATGGAAGCTTTTTTTGCAAAAGGGCACCCCCGAGTCTCCAAACAAATGAAATCAGGGGTTGATGAAAAAGTCTTCCACCTGTTGAATGGAAACAAAAACAGAAAGGGGAGAGGGACTAAGCATCCCTCAACAATTTAGCCACCCCCAAATCCCTCTCGGAAAGAAGTTGGTAAAGAGGCTGGCTGGGGAATTCTGGGAACTGAAATCCATACATCTTAAAAAGTTGCCAAGGTTGAGACTAAGGAGACGAACACGAGGCAAAAAGCAATCCTCATCCTCTTTTAACGACCCCTTAATTCCTTGCAGGAGGGAGTCTGGGCAATTTAATGGAGAGGAGTGTTTACTGGCCGGATGCCCTTTCCTGTAGCCGATGCAGAGTTTTTTTTCCCCAGCAGATCTATTCTCAGTGGGCCCAGAGAGAGAAATATCTGCCTCTACCTAGGATCAAACTCAGTCTCCTGATTGAGATGATAGATAGATAGATAGATAGATAGATAGATAGATAGATAGATAGATAGATAGATAGATAGATAGATAGATAG